GCATGTTCTAGTACACCCCCAAAACAAAATCAAGACTTTGTAAAAGAGCATAATAGGACCCCTTTAAAGACTGTTTTAACTGAACAGAATCAGCCGTGAGTTTTAGTGGTCTGGTGTTTGATTATATGGAGTCTGACACACGTTACTGCAGCAGTATCTTTATCTTCTAATCAGCCGTTGTGGTTTGTCACGCGTGACAGTGTTTTGCTGCTACTCGAGTCTGTAAGTTCCCCCGAGAGCGATTGCTCGTCCTCCTCTATCTGTCTTCCTCATCTCACACATTGTCTTCCCTTTTCACCTGCAGTCAAATGCTCCATTGATGGCTCCATCGCTCCTCTGTGGGCTCCTGCTGCGGGGCGAGTCTTCATCCCACACTCAGTGGATCTGACCGCCGGACGAAGGATCAGTCATTCGTCAGGCGACAGATCGACAGATCGAGGACAGCGGATCAGAGGAACCTGGTGAGCATCACTGATCATCTGCTCATGTGATTTGAATGACAGGAGTGCTGTGTACAGGTGTGGCAGTTCATTGATTAACTCCAGATTTTGTTGTTGTTTTTTTCAGAAGTGCACTGTCAAAATGAGATGACATGAGTGCTTTTGTTTTACAAGTCAATTGTGTGTAAACAGGTGAATCTCTCTGAATCAGTAACTAATCCGGGTCATATTTCACCTCGTAATCATAAGGGAAAAAATTTAAAATATATGTGTATTATCTTTTTAAAAGTTAAAAAGTTGAAGCGCTCCTAAAAGCCTGTTTTAGGACCATTGTGACTTTTTTTTTATTTACATTATTTTCCAAAGTCTCAGTATGGAAAAGCAACAAAAAATTCTCAGAATTTTAAAAGTAAAAAAAAAATAAATACTGATAAATTGGGTCTAAACAGGTGAATCTCTCTGAATTAGTAACAAATACGGTTCATATTTGAGCTCATAATCAAAAGAACAATATGTGAATATTTTAGTGTATATTATATATATTTGTAAAAAAAAATGTAAAAAGTCTTTTTTAGGAGCACTTTTTTAAATTTACATTATTATCCAAATTCGCATTATGGAAAAGCAAAAAAAAAAAAAATAAAAATATATATTATTCAGGGTTTTTCAGCATATTATTTTTATGTTAATCATCCAATTACGGTTCTCATTAGATTCTTAATAATGTCACACACTAATATGGCATTAGGCTTTTTTGCCCTGAATTTTTGAAGTTTTTTTCTTTTTTTTTTTACTTTATAACATAATTGGATGCTTAATTATGATTCTCATTATTGTCACACACTAATATGCTTCTACAGTTGGGACACATTTGAAATACGTTTTAAAGTATTCTACTTTATAGTATAATAATTTAAAATTATAAAGTTATTTTACTTTATAATATAATAATCTTTTATGCTAATCATCCAGTCATGATTCTCATTAGATTCTCATTTTTGTCGCACACTAATATGGTTTTAAAGTAAAGACATTTGACATTTTTAATTTAAATTAGTATCCAATTTATCATTAAGGTAAAGCGACAACTACAAAAATCTCTTAAAAAAATTAAATGTTATTTAAAATAATATTTTGTTTTTTTGTCTTAATTTTTGAAAATGAAAAAGATTTAAATCACTAAATTGAAGTATTTTACTTCATAACAATTTTTATGTTAATCATCCAATTATGATTCTCATTATTATTGGCACACTAACGTGTTTTACAGTAATGAGAATAATGAAAATGACAAAACTCAAAAGGAAACATCTGACGGGCTACAATAATGAGAATTTGTGTTAATTGTCACTAAAATAATCTACAATGCCAAAAAATGGCTTTATGTTCTTTGTCCATTACAATTTCTTTTTTGCTAGAATCACAATTTTGTTTCAGAGAAAGTAAAGGAAAAATATGCTTCTTACTCCAAAGACCTCTCAGATGTGAGATCCTCAAGAGGTTTCGTAAGAAAGAGATCCAGCAGAATTGACTGTTCGTGAGAACGCTGTGTTTATATCGGGCTTTTACAGTCGTGTTTCTCCAGCACATATTAATGATGCATGTCAATGATAGTCTGCAGCAGTTATTTGCTCTGACATGCAGTTACTGTGATCCTAAAACACTGTTAATATTTCATTTCTTGTATTTATTGTTCACAAACAAGCCTCTCAGTTTCTCTGTTTTCTTCCTCTACCCAAAGACCTTCGCTTTTTGTTATTACCGGAACGTAAATTTCATTTTATCACGGGGGTCTGATTTCTGCTGTTCAGTGACCTTGTTTTACTAGTTAATGGCTTTTCGGTGTGGCTGTTTGGGAAAGCAATATAAAGTGTAGTGCATTTAAACACAGGTTTGGTGTGTGAGTTCTAATGGATGTGATTCAGAGAGCTTTCACACACTGAATAACTCTATAATGGCAGAGATTTTCACCACCTTATTGGCTTTCTGTGAACTGTGCACGCTGTTCAAAGCCTTTCGACTCTGATGCCTGGCTTTCTTGGCAGACTTTCTGGCATTATTTTATCTGTAAAAGGGGTCATGAACTGAGAAATCAAATTTCCCTTCATCTTTTGACATATAACAGGTCAATGTACTATAAAAACATCCTGTAAGTTTCAAAACTTTCTCGTTAGTTTAAAAAAACCTCTTATTGAAAGCAAGCTCAGAAAACGACTCGTTTTAGAATGTGCCACTTTATGATGTAATAGTGTGGCTAAGCCCCGCCTCCGCAGGAGAAGAGCAACGCTGGCCCCGCCCACTGGAAATAGGGTAAACAAATTAACTTACAGATATAAATATACTTCCCAAATTGATTGATTACATTAAGATGTTCTTTTTTTGCCATCATTTACAGAAGACACCCACTAAAATGTCATTCAGTGTAACAAAGTTCATACACCAATAAAATCTAATCAGAACTGGAATCATTAAATGACATTTAGGGGCTGTTTACACCTGGTCACTTCATGCGTTTTGTCTGATCGGATAGCTATCCGATCATGAAAAGACCAGGTGTAAATGCCCTCCGAAACGCATTCAAGACGGATACAAATCCGATCGCTCAAAGCTTCAGGAGGTGGTCTGGGTCGCATTCCAGACGAAACTCGACAAGTGTAAATGCATCTGGTTGTTGAAACCACATATGTAAATTTTACTCCTCCCAAAATTATAAAATAATAAACGTGTGAGAGCTGTTATAGGCTATATGACATAATTGTCAGATATGACTGCGCTAATGCAACACGCATCGCTGCGGACGAGTAGCCGAGCATCTCTTCAGCAAGCCGACGCACAAACTGCCGCGAATGAAACAAATTAAGTCGCAGACGGTCAACACACAATCATCTTCATTAAAAGTAGTAAGACAAACTTATCTTTCCCGTGCTGATGCCGCGCGCTCTCCTATTGCGGTCTTTGATCTTGAAATGAGGGAATTGAAGATCGGATTTAAATCCGTTTTGCGACGACACATTAATGTGGCCAAGTGTAAATGGAAACGTTTTAACAAATCAGACGCATGAAATGACCAGGTGTAAACAGGCCCTAAAAGACTCCAATCACATTAAAAGGATCCCAGTGCAGCTCTTAAAAAATAATTAATGACTTCCGGTTTTGCCACCTCCGAAATGGCCGTGTTTTGAAGCAGTTCTCTGATGGCAAACTCGATATGTAAAGGCTGAACCAATAAAACGGGTGAAACATGAATAATATGATGAAAGACTGAGTTAATAAAAAGGATGAAACAAGGTAAACGCGACAAAAAGGAGGAAACTAACATTGCTGTGTCTGACTCGCGGAGATGGCGGCTGAAATTCTAGAGGAGATGAGGGCCATGAGATATGATGTTGCCGGCAAGCTAGAGAGAATAGACGCATCGGTGAAAGAAGTTAAGGACGTGGTTAAAAGCCTTGAGAACTGAATAGAGGAATCAGAGAGAAGGATAAGCGCATCGGAAGATCGTGGGGACACAACTGAACGACTGCTAGCGTACATGCTAACAAAACAGCGCCAACTAGAAGAAAAATGCGAGGACTTGGAGAGCCGATCACGGCGGTCAAACATCCGCATCTATGGAGTCAAAGAGGGGGCTGAAAGAGATAAGACTATGACAGAATTTATAGACAATTTGTTAAAAAACCTCCTCGAACTCCCTGCTGACTGAGATTTGGGCATTGAGCGCGCTCACAGGTCTCTCATCACGGCTCCGACAGATCCTAAAGCATCTCCCAGGTCAATTGTGGTAAAATTCCTGCACTTTCCGACTAAGCAGCAAATCCTGTTCAAGGCATGGAGCAAAAAAGGACTAAAGTACGAGGGGAACAATATCTCACTGGACAATGACTACTCCCTAGATATTCAGCACACACGTAAGGAATATAGAGACATAAAAAGACAGCTAAAAGAACGGCACATAAAGTTTAGATCACCATACCCGGAGTTGCTCAAAGTCTCCTTGGAAACCGGCGAGAAGACCTTGTTCAATGGTCACTGATACATGGTTTAGGAGGAGGAGGTATTGGGGGATGGATAAGCTTGCAATACCTACGCTGTCCATTTTCTTAACTGCAACTAATTTCCTGCAGTTGAAGGCCCAGGCTTCAAGGATTAGGTTCTGGACTCTCCTTCAAATTCTGCCTACAGCACTGTCCATGTGCTTTGTTTTCTCTATATGGGTTATCTATGTGTGGCAAAGAGAACCCACAGGGTGGATTCATTTTGTGGAAGTCCGTAAAAAGTTGAAATATGTTTTGTATATAGTTAGGATTTGTTCATGGTTGTTTGATGTGTTCTATGAATCAGCCGATGGGATGTCTTATTTCCTTTTTGATAGAATTACCTAATGATTGGCAACCCAAAGACATGTCAGCTTAAGGCATTTTATTATGACTATGGTTAAGATAGTGAGCTATGATGTCAAGGGTTTGCATAGTCCTATAAAGAGAAAGAACATTTTCAACCAGCTTAAACAAATGAATATCCAAATTGTTTTTCTGCAGGAGACACATCTCTCAGATAAGGAACATGAGAAACTGTCTAGATCATGGGTCTCTCAGGGGTTTTTCCTCCCACTCATCAGGACGTCGGAGGGGTGTGGCAATATTGTTTCATAAATCAGTACAATTCAGTGTATGTTCAAAATATTCAGACAATGAGGGGCGATTTATCCTAATTAATGGCTCTTTATCTGGGGTTATGATATCATTGTTTAACATGTATACACCCAATGAGATAAATACCAAGTTTATGAATAAAATGTTCAGTTTGGTCAATGAAAAGGCTCAAGGTCGGCTACTTATGGGTGGAGACTTCCATTGTGTGATATCCCCACTGGCATAAACCCCTCTCTATAATGAGTAAGGCCTTGAAGAATAACTGTGTGGAATCAGGAATGATTGATATCTGGAGACACCTACATCCTAGAGACGTCTTACTCTCATCCACATAACTCATACTCTAGAATTGACTATTTTTTCGTTTCTGGAGATGAAACATACAGAGTTATTGACTGTAAAATTCACAACATCACATTATCAGATCATGCGCCAGTGTCATTCGTTTGGGATATGGAAGGGGATGCTTCTACGAAATTGTGGCGGTTAAACACTCCTTTGTTAGGACACCCAGCATTTCAAACATATATTGAATCCGAGTTTAAATATTACCTAGATATGAATATTACCGGAGATGTATCTGCGGTCATTCTCTGGGAGGCAGCGAAAGCAGTTTTAAGGGGTGGAGTGATCGCTTATGCATCTGCTTTAAAGAAAACAAAAATAACTAAGCGTACTGAATTAGAAAATAAAGTTTGTAAGCTGGAAGAGCAACACAAGCAGAACAGTACCGTGGAAAATTAAATTCAGCTTACAGAAGCGAGAAGGAAATTGGATGAACTGCTCACTGACCAGGTAGAACGTAACTTAAGATTTCTAAAACAACATTTCTATGAGTATGGTTCTAGGGCGAGTAAACTACTTGCATTCCAGCTCAGGAATAAAAAGAGGGCTTAACACAGTTTAAAAAATCAGGACTAATGATTCTAATAAACCCTTTATTTTTAAACCAAAGGAAATAGCAGATGCATTTGCTTCATTTTATAAAGGTCTATATTCAGAAAATAAAGAAGAATTAGATATAGAAGAGATAGATGTATATTTAAAAGACATAAATTTAACTCAGATGAGTCTTACCGACTCTGAAGCAATTGATGCTCCTATTACTGTGCAAGAGATCAATGAGGCTATTTTACAATTGAAAAACAATAAAAGTCCTGGAACTGATGGATTCAATAATGAGTTTTATAAGACTTTTAGAAGCCAAATTTGTCCACGGTTAGCAGAGGCTTACGCTGATGCTCATAACAATAGTAATTTGCCATCCACGTGGAAAGAAGCAATTATATCTGTTATTTATAAAGAAGGTAAAGACCTGACTGACTGTGCTGGATATAGACCTATAGCTCTACTTAATACTGATTGTAAATTGCTGACTTCAATTTTAGCAAAAAGAGTAAACACGGTAATTACATCTCTGATACACAATGACCAAACTGGCTTCATAACTGGAAGGCATCTGCAAGATAATATCCGTAGGTTACTTATAACATTATGTCCTATAGTTCAACTCTCTCTGAACCTTGAATGGCACTGGCGCTCGATGCTGAGAAGGCTTTTGACCGAGTGTCATGGCCTTTTCTGCTCAAAGTGTTAAAAAAATTCGGATTTGGTCCTAACTTTATTCACTGGATAAAGCTGCTGTACTCTGCTCCCCAAGGTATTGTTAGGGTTAATGGTTAATTTGTCTCAACCTTTACACTTGAACGGGGAACGAGACAGGGATGCCCACTGTCTCCTCTTCTTTATGCCCTTTGTATAGAGCCATTAGCTGAGATAATTAGGAACATTCAGGGAATAAGAATAGGAAGAGACATGCATAAAGTGTCATTATATGCAGATGACGTAATTGTATATATTTCTGATCCATTACACTCTGTCCCCACACTAATGGAATGTATTAACCAATTTGGTAAACATTCAGGTTATAAAATCAATGTTGGGAAAACTGAAGCTCTAGCTATGAATACTCTTATTACTACACAAGTCCTCCTTTTCTTTCAGATGGCCCAAAGAGGGGATTAAGTATCTAGGTGTGGTTATACCTTGACGGTAATTACGCAAAGTTATTAGAAAAAATTTATTCAGATTTAAGGAGATGGAATATACTACCTTTTTCTTTAACTAGGAGAATAGAAGCTGTTAGAATGAATGTATTACCACGGCTCTTATTCCTTTTCCAGACCCTTCCATTGTCCGGTATCCAAAAGATTTATAATCTTCCTAAGGTGCTTTCTTTGTTAACAAACATAACATGGATAAAGAACTTCACTCCCTTGAAAACGTTTGAACAACTTGCTACTGAATTTGCTCTCCCTAGGGCTGTTTTTAATAAGTATCTCCAGATTCGAAGTTTCCTTTTTAAACATCCAAATTGGAAAATGTTCAAAACTACCCCATCAGCAATTGAGACTTTGTTGATTAATGTGCAGAATGGTAACAAGATCCTTAGACCAATTAGCTGTATATACAGGGCTCTGGAAGGCATGAAGAAAGACAACACATATTACATAAAGTTAAAATGGGAGAAGGAGCTCAAGGTAGTGATATCTGGCGAGAATTGGGCTGAAATACATGTAGAAACATATAGAATAACATGTCGTAGAATTTGTAGAGAATACAATTGGAAGGTGACTAATCGTTATTTTCGAACGCCCCAAATCGTAGCCAAATTTAATTCAAGTCAATCCAGCGCCTGTTAGAGTGAGTGTGGAGAACAAGTAGCAACGCATACACACATCTTTTGGGAGTGCCCTATTCTAGTCCCTTACTGGACAAATGTATTTGGTTTCATTAATAACATTTTTCAAGTTAATTTACCCAGAGACCCTTTAATAGCTATCTTGGGAGTTAAGACAGATTTAATAAACAGTGAGAGAGAAGATACCTCCTACGAATACTCCTAGTTGTAGCAAAGAAGAATATTACAATTAAACGGCTTCACAGAAGGCTTGATGAATGCTTACGGACAGTGAGAGAAATCTATGAGATGGAAAAAATAACGTACAGTTTATGACTCAAAATGAGAAACCCTTAATGAAAGAGCTGGGTGAGATATGGGCTGGAAGCTTTTAAACACCTTTTTTTTTTTTCATTTGAATGGATTGGCTGGTTAACTCTTTGTCATTATTGAACATTTTGATCCCATCCAAGGCTGTTGTTATGTGTTTATTGGTTTTGATGGTTTCGTTATAGTGGTGTATTGTTATTCCAAATTTGTTTTTATTTTTTTCTTGTCTTTGCTCTGTACTCTTCTTGTCATTCTGTAAAATGTAGTTATGATGTGGGTTAATAAAAAATAAGTAAAAACAAAAATTATTATCATTTTAAATCTTTACCAATCTTTGCCACGATCCTTCAAACCACTAGGTTTGACCCATGTGTCAGCAAGGTGTTTTAAATAATTAAAAATCTAATAGAAATTAGTATGATCACTTATTCTTTTATATATTTTAATAAGTACAGGTGAGAATAAGTATGTTGTTTCATTTTTACATAAATATATCTATTGCGCTGAACTAATTTCTTGACTTTGTATTTTCTCAAAAGTCATTTGAAACATTAAAGTAGACACTTTACTTGCATTTAATATTTTTTGTGTATGTAAAATCCCTTTTGTCAATTTAATTTTATCGGACACCGAAGTTTTCTGAAATGTTGTTTCAATATGCACAATTTAATATGCACTACTTTGCATAATATTCCAGAAAATTGTTTGATTTAATTTACATATTAGATTTAAAGATTTTTACAGAGGGTATTTTGG